TGTATACAGCAACCTAGAGGGTGTACTGGCGCACGTGGGTACTCGAAAAGTTCGAAAGATTCTTGGTAGAACCAAAAACAAAGAAAAGGAGCAGAAAGGAAATTTTATAAGCAATTAAAATAATTGAAAACGAACAATTATCTCAATATCTGTATCAGTCCGCATTTAGATGTTTTCAGATGTTGTAGGCTACGCCCAGCAATTGAAATGGAGAGGTTGCTTGCAGGCTTGGCAAAGCAAAGTGCTGTTATCCAAACGCAATTGCCTGTATATAGAGTATATAGAAAAATAAAAAACAAAAGATAGCTAGGTTTTTTGGAATTAGCCGGCGAAGATCCGTTTGCTGTTATAATCACGGCGCCTGTGTTCACACGCCCCCTCCCATCTCCCTGATTTTTTTTAGGGGAGGTGGCGTCGATAGAACTTTAATAGACCAACTTAGGGTACGAACTCGAAATCGAGAGTCGAACTCAAACTTGAAGGCTGAAACAAGGATAGGTAATTATTTGCGTGTTTTCATATTAAGTATCTTAATATTATCTATCACTCGATTGAACTTAGGGGGCGAAGTCCAAATCAGGGTGAACTCGAACGGGGCAAACTCAAAAGGGGGCGAAACCGTCTGTACACAGGCTACTTTGCTATTCACAGTTTAGTTCTTTAGTTTTTGTCTCTTTACTGATCCGCATGTTTTTTACAGATCATACCGCCGAACCAGTCATTCATGTTTAAAATGCTTTATTTTTGCTTCTTTTTTTTTTTTCGGACTGTTAACAAAACCGGGTCAAAAATCCAACAGAAAGAGCCCCCTTCTTTCCGATGATCCCTATAAAGAACCACTGGTTTTGAGTTTCTGCTCTATTTCAATCTATGTCGTCTATTAACCCATTCGCCCCTGAATCGCTTGTAACCAGTCAAGGCAAGAGAAGATACATCCTCGGAGACCCAGTGGCGGTCAGTCGGGCGGGAGAAAAGGCGCGACGAAAGTTTTCAAGCCCTGGGTCTCCGAGGATGGAGAAGATAAAGCCTGGAGTTCCTCTTAGTCAAGGACACTTTTGTAAATAACCTGTTCTTTCAACCATACCACAGGTGGCCCAAGCGTAATATGAGAGTTTGTATGGGAAATAAAGAGTTTGAAACTTCAACGAAATAAATGAAGTAAAGGCGATAAAAGTTATCAATAAAGTGTAGATATTGTTACCTGGAGTCGTTGTCTTTGTTTTTACGAAATTTCAGCTCTATTTGAGTACTTTTAGATCATCTGACTTGACAGTCGCTTATTATTACAATGTCAGGTCAGACGATGTAAAACATCTATCTACATCTACATTTATTAATTGACAACGCTTTCGCATCAAGTCAATATAAAAAGTACAAAAATGGCGCCGAAAACTTCGTAAAAACAAAGACAACGACTCCAGGTAACAATAGGTACACTTTATTGATGACTTTTATCGCTTTTACTTCATTTATTTCATTTAAGTTTCAAACTCTTTACTTCCTATTCAAACTCTCATTTTACGCTTGGGCCACCTTTGACCATACAAGACTGTGAGCACCATTTCAGTCCAGGGGGCCGGAGAAAAAGGCAGAAAACGACGTAAAGTTTATCCAAATCACTTGGATTCCAGTAAAAATATTGGCCAACTACTCCCATCCCGGTTTGGGAGCACTCCCTTAGCCTATATGGCCTAATAGGGTACGTGCCGCCATGTACAATCTAAAGAGAAAACAGAGGGTCCGTGAACAGCCTAATAGTGATTATTTTAAAGGGGTTTTAATTGTGAAAAGTCGTATTCGTCGATTTCCCGAAAGCTGTCGTTTCCATCTAGTTTAAGGCCTTTTAGGTCCGGCTGAACAACCTTTAAGGTCTTAACATTGGATAAGAGCCAGGATATTTTTACGAACCGCACTCGCAACAAAGTGAGTGGTGTGAATAGATACAAGTCATGTTGGACCAGCTTCTGCCGCTTTTTTCAAAAGTAAAATTTTAGGGAGTTTGTATGTCCGCCGACTCATTTTACTGCATTGGAAAAGCATAATAAAATTGCCAAGGGTACGAAAGTGGGAATGAAGCCTTACATTGTACATCATACATAAAAAGTAGCATTATTAATTCAAAATTTATTGCACAACAACCTTCTTGTTCACATTTCTAAAACTCAAATGCAATAACGTAAAACAGCTTTACTCCCTTTATAAATAATCAATAGATAAATATCCCGCAATTGTAACCATTACATGTGTAAACTCCAATGAAAAATGTCAGTTATGTACATTCAACTGCAGACAACTTCATAAAACAGAGACATCAGCAGTAGGCTGCAGTGGTGTGGACGGCTTGAAAAGCTAACTGTATTTTTGGATAGGTCAAGAATGCACAAGAAACTCATCCCAGTGCTTTGTGTCTACAAAAAGCGGTTTTTATAATGTAGAAAAGTTATCAGTTATCCCAATTTAATGATAAAAACGCTTTCAGGAAATTAAAAAAATATATAATTTTTCAAATTTCAGTTGCACACTCTCTCTTCTGCAAGGGCTTCCGCTGGGTATCCCTATAAAAATAGCACTAATAAAAAAATAGAAAGCTTGCAGGGGACGATGGGATGCACGCTCTCTTTTTCTCTCTCCCCAGTGCCCCACAACACAAAGAGGCCTATATGTGGAGGAGAGAGAGTTGTACACAAAGACGTACGTACATATGGATGCTTTATGTTCCCACTTAGCCGACTCCTAAATCTATCCATAAGTGATTTCAAAAAAACCTATTGAGAGACGTATGCAATACTGTTAAATTTGAAGGGACTGTAATCCAAATCTCAAACAGTATCAGGACTTCTACAAATTATTGTGATTGTAATTTTGCCACTCAGGTGCTCAGATATCAATTGTCTTGGACACAAAACACTCCAATCACTAAATCCACCGAAGCCATAAGAACATCTGCGTGCGAGGCTTCAATTTCACCTTGCCAGTATGTAAAAGGCACTAGCTCAATGCTGGACACTGTCAGGGAAATCACTGACCTCATATCAACTATCAAGCTTCAATAAACACTTAAAATTCTTTGATTGCATCAATTTAAGTTTTTTGATCATTCAAGCAACAACATTGTTAAACAAAGAATCAAGTTATTCAGTAGTCTCAAAATCACAACTGTTCACCAAGTTTTACACCAGTCTACTGCTTTTTACACAGTAGAAAATTATTGTAAGGACTGAAACAAAACCACAATTATTTTTCATCCTTGTTTGAAATAGTGGTAGACATTTACAGGAGCAAAAATTGCCAGAGCACCAATACAGGAGCCCACTTGAGTGCTTATTCCATACCACAGCAAATGCTTGTGACCTTTTTCACGCATGATTCCTCCAATGGCAACTTTGATATATGTTACCACAGCAACAGCAGCAACGCTTACCACAACCTATAAGTTAAAAAGTTAATTTAAGTTGGTGCCGGTATCACTAAGTGAATCCCATATTTTAGTGCAAAAGTTCAGCTTCCTGCTAATATTATAAGAAAAATATCTCAAAAATTTCTTTTTTAAAATTGGAAGGGATGCTAGCAACAAAAAGTTCTTTAAAGTACAGAGGTGTCAGCAATATGGGTCGGGAGTATCTTGCTTTCATTTGAGTGCATCCTTGCTAATTTCTTTTGTCTACATTCATAACCTAAGGCTGATTAGATGATGATGATGATGACGATAAACTTTAGTTCAGTGTCAGGTCTTCTAGCTGGCCGTGTAAGGCCTACTAATAGGGGACAAGGCCCGTTTACACGTTAAAAGAGAAGGAACGGCTCGGTTAGAAACAAGTACCGGTTCCAGACGAAATCTCCTGTTTACACGTACAAATTCTGTAATGTGCCCGACAGAAAAAGGCACGGTACGTGAGAGCCCCTTGGAACGGGTACTAGACTGTTTACACGTTGTTTTCTTCGAGACCGGTAACGATAGAGCCCGCGATAATTAAATAAAACTGCTTCGATTAGTTGTTCATATGCTCTTATACATACAGTAGACTGTGCGTATCTCCGACAATCATGGATGCAGGTTTACAAGCACTTTTCTGGTTTCTTCTAAAGAAGAGAACACGAAATTCACGTTTGACAGCGCGTGCGATTCGTCAAAGTTCTTCTGAGAAAATGTACCGAATTAGGAGAAAAACAAGGCTTACGGTTCTCCTATTAACAGCCCTTGTATCGCACTTCACAGTCGAAAGGAGCTTCTGGCAAATTCCAAGAACAAGCGCTTGGTTTGATCTTACATACAGCACTTACTCTGACGACCAGTGGTATGCTAGCTTTCGAGTGTCGAAGAATACTTTCCAGTTTCTTTTTCCAACACCCATGTGACGTACGCTAAACAACTCACGTGGGGCACCACGGGCTCATAAAAAACGTAACAGAACGGTACCGAAAAAAGGGCGAGCGTTTACACGTTGAAAAGAAAACAAAAATGTGGGTACGGAACCGTTTTTTATCGGTTCCGTTCCGAAAGGGGTCCATAGCCGCCTATGGACCTTTTTAGGAACGGAACGGATACAACTGGAACGGGTCAAGTACCGTTTACACGTCGAATTTTGTCGGAGCCGTTCGTCTTTTTATCCGGGCCGTTCCAATTTTTTCGGTCGTGTAAACGGGCCTTAAAATTTACAACAATATACATCCTAAAACAAAATGCGGATATTATCATATAAAATAATACTTATTGATTGAGAGGTGTCCTTTTCGTCTACAAAATCTCATTTATGTACAACATAGAAAGCAGTTTTTACAGCCCTCTGTGATTACTTGTTCAAGATCTACCTTAGAAATTTTCTTTTTAACGCCGTCAATTGATTCTGCGTTTTTCACATCCTTGCTTAGTTTAGACCATATTACTGGGCCCACGTATCTCAGGCTATGTCTCACGTAATTTGTCGTGTTGTATCGAGGATTAAAAAAGTCACCACAATTTCTGAGCCCATAGCGAGGTTTATCTAGCTTAAAAATGTCCTTTATATACGGAGGGCAATATATTGTACTTTGCCTTATACATAATTACGGCTATATCCTGCAATCGGTGACAGCCTAGTGTCGTGAATTTAGCTTTTCTCAAGAGTTCATCAAGGCTTAGTTAATTCACTTAGCCATGAGGGTCTTTTAAACTTGACAGCATATTTCTTTGTTTTGTCTCCTGGTTTTATAAAATAGCATTACAAAATAACTTGGGAGAGTTTTTGAGCCACTAAATGCCAAAACAAGAATTGACAATTTTCGGTCACAACACTTTCACTCCCTTTTTTCTTGCATATTGAACACTTTCATAACAAGAGTATAGACAATGCTTGTTAGAAGCTTCTACATATGAGAAGGTGTGATGAATGTTTCAAGAGGGCAGCTGTTAGGGTAATATTGAAAAGGGACTTAGCCTTGAGACAACAAAGTAAGAAAGATGTTATGATGACAAATAACACAAAAATGGTTTAACACTGTGGCACCGACGAAGACAAGCCCAAATACAACAATAAAATACCAACAGGGACATACCTTAGCTTCCTCCTCACTACTCAAAACAATGGGCTTTGAATTCTTACAGGGACATTGTACCTGCCCTTAGAGGGACCCCACTATCATGTGTTATGCCAATGAAATAACAAGTGTGGAAGGAGTACTGCTTACTTATAATTTTATAAATTAAGAATAATCACAGCAACGTGAGACATTTTGGAGATGCACTGCCTTTCTTAGGCCCGGTTCAGATACCGAACGTTTCATGAGCTGAACCTCATTCAAATTAAGACCGACCTTAAATTATTTATTTCCTAATTCAAATGGAGAAAAATGCTCATTTCCAAGTCAAACTGCTAGCAAAATATGCTATAATTTACACATCAGGTTTGGTACACAAAAAAATTGGTGTCTGAATCAAAGCTATTCCAAAGTCGATCCGTAATGGAAATTCCCAGCTGGGCTAGGCAGGAAGAATGGTTGAGCCCTTCCTATGAGGTGAAATTGATCAACAGTGCTTCCTTTTCTACAGATAACGACCTAACATCAAGATTAAGCATTTTAAACTGTATTTCTAACCATAATAACCTCATCCCAAAACATCTCAATTATGCTCTTACAGATTTTGCTTAAAATTCACGAATATCAAGGTGGCTGTTGGAGGAAAAAGCTCCTGTGAATGATTTTTGAAGAACAGTTGCCAGTGCAGAGAAATACTCCGGCAAGTAAAATAGATAAATTATGGCGTTATTTTATTGTTATTACAACTCTGATAACAACCCTGATCATAACAAATTTTCATCTTTATCTAATACAACTGTGGTGGCAATTTTTCCAATATTTTTGTTTATGGGGAAGTAGTTTATGCTCAATCTTGGGAGGTATTGACCCTGAAAAACTGTATCGAGGTACCTTAATACAATGTATTAGGTTTGCCTAATGAAAAGCTTGGTGTCTCAAGCGGGCCTTATTGGTAAAAAGGGTTGACTGCTGAACCCTTTTTTGAGCTACATGTAGAACACAATGTACTTACAATTAAAGCTGCACCAGAATCTTCACATTGTAGAAGTACCGTGGGACTCTGCAATGCGATGATGAGAATGTATGTGCACATACCCAAGTACACAAAACTCAGGACACTTATTACTATCATTGATTTGGTGGGAATGAAGGGAAACACAAAACATGTGAGAGGATTAACAATGTTTGACAGGGTGAGTGTCAGATGATAAATATAATAGCTGTATGGAATGCAGGCATATGATTGGATAGCTGGTATAATTCCATTACTCAAGCCATTGACTACGGCTATCGTCACTAACATCAATGTGACACCACTTGTTGACAATGTTTTAACACCAAGATCATCATGGTCAACATGACCTGCTGCATATTTTCCATACTCTAGCCTTTCCTCACGGGAGACAAGTTCTAAAGCTTGATCACCGGCCTGTGCACCTTCATAGTTTTTAGCCACCTGTTCTCGCTTAGCAACAGGGAGGTAATTAAGCCCTATGAATGCCAAACCACAAGCCACCATCATTGCCGTTAAAAACCAGAAAAACACCTCTGCTGAGAATTTGGGTCCTGGACCCCAACTTCCTGAATCTGTATTGTTTTGTAAGGTTCCATTGGTACTGTTAACAGATGCTAATGTAGGCTTTGGACAAGGGTCATGTGACCCTCCTCCCACACCCTGCGCTAATGCAACCAGACCAGGTAAGAGACCGCTTAACCCTTGACCTGCAAAATACGGGCTCATGTATATCTCTCGGAAGGAAGCCATATACGGAAGAAACGTGACAGAAGAGGCGCAATCTACCATAGAGAACACGAAACATAGGACTAGTAGCGCTGTACTTCGTTCAGCTCCAGCGATATAACTTGTCTCTTTCCAGAAAAATGCCAGTAACGTGCACGCCGCAATTCCCACGATCACACTGATGTATATTACAGGCACCTCACAAACCACACGGGGGAAGAATTTATTTCCCACTGTAAAGGCCAGTGGGGCTACGTTTGCCAGCTGGATTATAACGGTTAGATAGGAAGGTAGTGACCAACTCTCGGGTATTTCTTGAACTATTATTGGCATCTCGACCCAGAGTCCATTGATGGCAATCCACGAACCAGTTCCAAAAATTACCACGAGTACGTAGGTAATTATTGAAATGTTTGAAAAAGCGTTTTTCATCTTGTTTCGCAAGCGTCCCGGTGCCATTGTCATTGAATTTTCCTTCCTTTACGTTTCACTGGCCGTACCAACAGCGTTACATAACGGAAAAGAACAAGGACAAACCCTGTCAACGGTGAGGTCCTAGAGAATGCTGTGGAGGTATGAACAAGAGGGGAGGGAACAGAGCAGGGGCGGAAATGACAAATGCTAAAAGCTACATTCCATGAAAGAAGAAAAAAAAACAAGCAAAAAAAAAACAAAAAAATCAAATCCATGGAGCTTCAAATGATGTTGAGCAAAGATCTAACAGCTGCATTACGGTTTAAAAACGTTGCTTGCCAATGAGTCTCCGTCCCCCTACAAGACCCCTACATGGTTGTCGCGGTTGTCACGGTTGTCACATGTTTGTCACATGGGTGGTTCCAGTCAGCGGTTGGCTCCCCACACCTTATAACACTTTATATATTCCGTCTATTCCGTCATGTATGGTGAAACAGAGAAATTAAGCCAATTCTTTCTTCTCCTCGCGTAAAATGCACAGGCAGGGACGCAAGAGAAAGGTTGGAACAGTTACACCACCAGATGGACTAATAGCTAGTGCTTGTAGAACCCCGAGTCCAAAGCGGCATAAAGATCATGGTATCACGAATGAAGATTTTCACGCGTACAACGGTGGGTATGATACAGTCTTGTCGGCTCGGAGAACTAGCGCAAAACATGCACGTGCCCGAGCAACTGAGAATAACTTAACAAGCTCAATTTCTTTGCCAGACATTCCTTGGTTTGTCCGTAGAGTCATTCCAAACTGAAAAAAATTGACTAGTTTACGCCCGGGCGTTCACATTTCTGGGTTATGTGGGCAATAATTTATGGCGGGAAATGCGAAGTTTGTGACGAAATTAAAGCTTAACCCATTTGATGAACTTTGCCGGCGTAATTTTGAGGTTAGTACAGAGCTACAAGTATTCTTTCTTTCTTGAACATACATATATCCGGCTTAGTCACTAGTTTGGTCGGCTAAAACAAACATGTTGTTGGTCAACGTCAGTCAAGGAAGCATTAGTATCCCGAAAGAAAGTGGGGCATTTGCACGATGACATCTCTGTACTACTACGAGCAGAATCCTACAAGGGTTTGCTTTCTTGTGCAAATTAGGGCTTTTGTTATGCATCAGTCAATTCCAGCTGCACCCAACCCCCCCCCCCTCCTTGTCAGTCCCGGGGTGGGGGCATTTGCAAATTTTGCACTGCTCGGGCATTTGCCAACCTCCGGGCCAAACCCAAGCTTTTGACACGCACGCAGTTTCCCATCACAATATAACTACACAGAGGATTTTACTGGGAAAACATGCAGATTGGCTCATCTGTCATGGATAGGAAAAAATTGAAGAGGTTTGTAAAGGCATGTTCTCAATGTTATGCATGCATTTCTTCATACGTAGCAAAGTCGGGAGCTATCGATGTGAATCAACGTTTTTTGGATTATTGAATCAAATTTCTGTGGATGTTATTTGTAGAACATCCTTTCATAATTAGAAAACTATTCATAACAGTTAACTTTACAGTGTACTATTGATTTTAATGTCAATAATTTTATAACAATACTAAAACCATAAACTGGTGTAGCCTCAGTGTGAAGTCTTAATTAGAATAGCACTATTGCAAAGGAAGACGTTAATTGAAACAAAAAAATCACGCATTAAAATGCTTAAAATGGCACTACTTGACTGTGCGATCAATGAAAATGTTGCAGTGTTGACAGAAGATGGGGCATTTGCCCTCTTTTTTTGTCCCCTTCCCGGGGATGCATTATTTAAACCTGTTAGGATTACCAAAAAAGAAAAATGAATTGACCAACTACAGAAAATGTCATAACATACCATAATACTTGAATAAGCATAAGCATTGTTTTCAGTTTCTTTTGGAGCCATTTTAACTCCCAAGAGAAACTGAAGACAATGCTTATGCAAATTTTGGAGGGACCAACAAAGAGTATTATGGTATGTTATGGTATTTTCTGTAGTGGTCAATTGGATTTTGCCAGAAACCCATAAGGGGTTGAAACGTGTAACTCGCGTTCAATGCTTGTGAATATTCATTTTGACCATATTTGGAAATCTTAGTGACGGATATCCATTTTCAACAAAATGACTGCTGCGCGATCACCATGCAGATGTTTTAAGACAAGAGTTCTGCATTTCAAGGTTAAAAATACACCGTTAAAAGACAAAAAATGGAAAGAGAAAGTTCAAAAGAATGCTTAGCTTTCTTTTTGTGGAGAAAGGGAAGCTTTTCATCAAGAAATCGTCCTTCGAGGAATTCAGCCTTGTTTTCTTCACGGCGGAGCCCATAGTCTGTTTTGAAATGCAACCAAGTCTGCGAAGTTTTTGCTGAATTTTCAGGTACATTTTGCACTCTATGGCCAAGACAATTACGTTTTTGAAAGGGAATTTATGTATTTTTAACTGTTTCATAGACGTTTTATAAATTTTTCTCTTCGGCGCTAAAGAAATATAACAAAATGTGCCCTGATTTGAGATGGATTTTGTGTTGAATTTTGCCATGTGCTTAGCCGATTTCACTTGCGTGAACGGATCCATGATCCAGATAGTGTTTTCCGAATTGCTTTAATGGATTAACTTTTTGGACTTTGAATAAAAATTTTCAAGAAACGGCTTCTCTGTCTATTGTTTTGAGTTTGTTCATTCATAAAATTAGCTCAAAACACGATCGTGACTAGTTTAATTTAAGCTTTTAAAATGCTTCTCACATTCATTACAAGAATCACTTTTTGCGAAGATGTCAGGTACAGGTTTTGGACACTTTTCGAGCGGGCGCGGGAACCTGAAGGAAAATTACGTCACGTTGTTTACGAAGTTTTATTGGTCAGTTATCTCTTCTTCTCGTTCCAAATATGGTACTTTCGAAAATGAATAATCACGAGCATCGGACAAAGCAAACATATGAGAGTTACACGTTTCAACCCCTTATGAGTTTCTGGTTTTGCTCGTACATGTAATAGTAAAATGATGCCGTTATGCAGGGTTGTCACTTAGGGCCGGGGGCTGGGGATTTGCCCCGGCTACTCAGAGCATGGCCCCCGGCTACTTTCGTGTTAAATTAAACCAAAAGAGCACACCTTTGAAACACACAAAGACTATTCATCAAACTAAATGCGAGTTTCATCTGCAGCAGGTTTAAGTAATTTTGAAATACTCACGTACAAAAACTAAGAAATGTCGGAAAAAGACATCTGACTTAGATTTGGTACTAGTACACATGCGCGATGGTAAGGAGAATGCAATAGGTTTATTGAGTAAAACAACTAGTTTGCACGTGCATCACGCTTTTTTGTACATTTCTTTGCCATTACTGCATGACTACGACGTGAAGATGCCTAGTTTCATGTTTTATGGAGGACGTAAACAAGCGACGACCAACTTTTCTTTCTCTTTCTAAACCTGAGTGCAGTCCCGAAGACTCAACTCCTGGGAAATAGCCTACATAGCTATTTTCAGTGAATTGAAATAAACGCGACAAAGTTGGAGAAAACGCCAATTCATTTTAAAAGTGACGTTTTCGCTGCCGTCACCTTTGTTGATGCTAAAATTCCTTAGTTTCAACCATTGTGTCGGCTTTGTGTTGAACATGTCGAAGAAGTGGCAAAGGAATCTGCACTCTTTGTTCACGATGAAAGACCTGAGCAGATCTCTGTTGACATCAGAGAAGAAGTTGAGGCTTCATCTGAGCATTAAATCTCCCTGATGTTGATGTTGATGATAATGAGGATTATGATGAAGGCTTTGAAGATGAAGACTATGACAACTGATTGCTATGTTTAATAAATTGACATTTAAGTGACCAGGCTTTAGATATCGAGTATATAAAATAACGCTTGGTCAACGGGCAATGTTCGATCATTGTCCGCAGGTCATGATCACATCCCCTCAGTTCTACTTCCAAGAAGTTATATATAGAAGGGAAGTTAAGCATTAGCATTACTTTTGCATTCTTCTTCTTGAGTCTCGTTTTGACATCTCAGTGTCGTTTATAAAGTATTAGCCCTGTCTTTTAAACGTTTTTCCGTAGGTCAGTTTCTTCGTGTGTTAAGTGATGTGTCGTTCCTAAATTCGAGACCACTAATGTTACCAGTTGTGCAGTTTAGTTTTGCCATATTTTATCCCACGATTTTTCGTACGTTACGCTTGTTTTAGCTTTATCATACTTTTATTTTTCAACAAACCATAGTAACCTTATGTTTATGATGCTTTTTCGTGCATTCATCGTTCGCTTGTCTTCTTTCCGCTTCTCCGTGGCTTAATTCATTTGTAATATTAGTTTTACTTTTGTTTTCCGTAAGTCGTTTCGTTCTTACGTATAACTAAATGAGGATTTACAATTGATTTTACAACGCACGTTAATTCATTTGCACCATATAAGAATCGATTGTCCTTTCCACATTTTTAACATTTGTAAATTATAGTTGTGATTTAACACTTCACTGGCCACCATGCGCCTTGTCTGCGTGAAGATAAGACTGCGCGGATAACGTGACCGGTGCCTACCTGTATTTTTTTCAGACCTGGTGCTTACATGTATATTCCCATTTGGCGGCCACTAAAAAAAAACTCCAACGAGCCTTTACTTAAAGTAAAAACTTATTATGTTAGTGCCTCAGCAGGGCTGTGCTCTAGCAGAGCCTGGTGGCCCCTGGTGCCTAACTTTTGCCCTCGGGCGACTAGAAAATCTCAAATTTTTCATGCCAATCATAAGCTGGGCACCCTAGATTCTACTGTTTCAGAGCACTGGGCTCCCTTCAATTTTCCTTAGAGCACAGTCTTGCTCAGAATGTTGTAGTTTTCTTTAATAAAGACGTGATCATCATGAAACTGCTAATGATAGCTGTACTCATGATGGAGATTGCTTTTTTGGGGGGGGTAATGCCTTTTGGAACAGGGTAGAAGTTGCACTTCAAAAACTTCTTTGGGGAGGGGGGGGGGCGGCAACTTGAAATCTTAGTGACAACCCTGCATTATGCAAATGATATATTTCACATGGTATGGTATTAATCATACAAATAGTTATAAATGTAGGTTATGAGCACTTCTACT